AAAAAAAAAAAAAAAAAAAAAAAAAAAAAAAAAAAAAAAAAAAAAAAAAAAAGAAAAGAAAAGAAAAGAAAAGCCACAAGGCACAACAAACCCACTATAAGAGTTTATTAAGAGAGGGAACAGAGGGGAATGTGCTTAGGCCTATGGAGATTGTGCAGGGAGAGAGAGGAAGAAGAAGAGGGGGAGGAGTCTGTGATCCACTTTTTATGGATTCCCCCACACATGTGCATATGGGCTTATGTAGCTACGCTATGCATGTGCATAGATTATGTGATCATGCTGCGCGCAAATTATACGACCATGCAGCGCACGGATTACATAGGATGTAAGGCCCCAGGATGACCAAGCCTCCTTCCTGGCTACTGCATAGCGCATGTGCAGCCATGTAGCAACAGATACTAGAAGGGAAAAAGTGTTCTTACAGAAGGATCAGAATGGCAGTAGTTTCCTTTCTAGTCACTTCTTTATTGTGATTTAATTTGTTAGTTATTAGAACAGTTGCAACCGTAATACATTCATGTCAGGGCCACAAGCACTCCCACAGCAATTTACCATAACTTAATAGATGCTTTAAAGGAAATGCCAATAGTTCCATTGGTAGTGGGATCAGAAGTATCTTCTTATGTATTACTTTTAAGGAAAGCAGCTTTAATCAATAGAGAGAACTCTGACTTGGAGTTTATACCCATAAATTAATGCTTCCCTCAACCCTCATCAGAGAAGTTTTTTTTAGTAGATAGTAGTTAACACAAAGCCCAGACTGGTCGAGGTGCAATGAATAAGAGTGCTCAGCTCTAAATGAGAAATCTACATCACACCACCGATCCCAAGGGATCACACCCCACCCAGGGATCATTGTGGGAGAGGGGGCAGAAAGAGTTTAAGAGCCAGACATGGTGGATAGATACAAGAATGGCTATTCTTTTGATGGATAAAAAAGGGCAGTTGCAGATATGAAATCACAGCACTTGTGACAGCATGCACAAGACCCTCGTGAGCTCAATCCAGAGAAAATCCCAGCAGAGAGAGGGGAGGTGGGTATGAAGTGGCACCCCTAACTAGGCAGCTGTTGGCAACTGACAGCTGCTGGGAGAGCCAGGGTCCGTTTTCTTTAAGAGTGGGGCACCTGCTGCTGGACCAGGCTCCAGTGGAAGGCCATGCATCAAGAGTATTTGGACAGCACAAACTGTACTCCCTGGGATAAAAAAAAATGCAGAATTGGTTGGGTAGAGAAATGGAGTGGATCTAGAAGGAGCTGGGTGAATATGATCAAAATAATTGTACAAAATTCTCAAAGAACTAATAAAAATAAATAAAATATATAGTAAAATGAACAAAAGGGGGGCAGGAAGTTGCCAAGTGGTTGGGTTGAGTTAAAGTCAGAAGTGGGAGTAAATAGGATCAATGTACATTGTATGCATGCATGCATGCATGAAACTCTCCAAGAATTAATAAAAATGCTATATTAAAATAAAAATACTTTAAAATTAAAGAGTTTCAAACTTTATAGCAGACATTCTTGTTACGTGTATAAACACACATAAAAGAGGAACAGATTAATATCTTATAAAGTACCCATTAATAAGCACTCTTAGCTTTTTATGCATATTTAGAAAGCATGTGGACATATTAATATATATTTTTATTAAATGTGATGAAATTAAAATCTTGTTTGATGATTTTTTTGTATGTAAAGTATTTGCCTGTTGGTTTTTGCAGTGCTGGTGATTAAATCCAGGGATTTGAACACACATTCTATTACCAAGCAACATCTTCAATTTTTCTTTTTCTAGCTAAATAATTATATTTCTACATTCTGTTTCCTAATTTTTTTCAAATTTACTTTCAACTGATTTCTTTTGTTTTACTAGCATATATTAATTATAAACAATGGTTTCATTTGGCCATTTTCTTAAATATAATGATATAATTTGATCACATTCAGCACTCACATTACCCTGTCTCGTCCCCCTGCTATTCTTCCCAATTACATTGTTGTTTTTAATATGGAGGAATTTAATTAATCACTTTTGACGGACATTTAGATTGTTTTGAGTTTTTTTTTATGAAAACTAAAAATTATAATTTATTAGAAAATATAATATAAAAAGGGTGTTCAAAATCCTTTCTTCTACTTCTTTTCTGGTCACAGAAGGGCTCCCATAGAACTTCTCCTTAGTAAGCAATTGTCATATCCCTTATAGGGGGACACAAAAGTATAGATAAGATTGTTATTAGATTATATCACATTTCCCACAAGCACTAATGAGTACATCATGTCAACAATATAAGGATTCCTTTTTGTTCTAACATCATTCACTCTGTCCAATAAATCAGTCTCATGAATTCCGCCATGGGCCTCTAAGGCCACCCCTATTACTGTCACATCCATTCCTTCTCTTCAAGGCCTTGGCAGTTTTCCAGTTTCTACAGGGAAAATGCAAGGGAGCCAGAGCTGTCCCATACTAGAAGCATCTAAGTAACAGAGAGCAAATCAATAACCCCTTCTCAATTCTATAATCTGTAAGATAAACTCATCTGTTTTCTTAATACGCTTCAAAACCTTACTCTTACCTAATTCAGAGTACTACCATTGTCACATGTTGGTTTCATGATAAGAACCAACATATTTCTATAGCTTTCTAATCCCCTCTATCTGTAATCATCATACTTTCTAGATGCAAAACCCCACAGATATATCAGAGTGGGACAGATAGCTGTGAAGAAGTTCAGACTTCTTTGATAAGTGGAAAATTGAGATGAGACAGGCTTTGATCAACATGTACAGACAGTCTGCTTTTTTGCCATTGGGGGGAAAATGCTTTATGATAGGATCAGAGTTAGCATTGCCCAGTGATATTCTAGTTCTAAACCAACCACAGAATGATCATGAGGCAAGTGAGATTCCTTCTGATTCCTCATCTGCTCTATGAGGGAACACTACATACTCCATCTTTATTTGAGACCTAAGATCAATGAAGGAAAACAAACACGCTGGAATTCTGTATCCTATTAAATTCTCCCCTAAAAAAGGAGAACTAGACTCTCTAACAATTAAAAATTGAGGAAATTTGTTGCCAGAAGATATACTTGGAAGAAATGTTAACAGGTCAGGAATTTGGATCTGCATAAAGAAGGGAAGTGAGTTAGAGAACAGATGAAGGAAGATAAGAAAGGAGATGTAATGAAGTACCACACCAATAGACATGCTAATACGGAAGGGGACATCTCATAGGCCTCACCCGGACAAAGAACTACAGGAAGCTGAGAAAAGCAAAGAGGGGGGAGAAATAGTCCTTTCTAGGGATGAGTCCCCTAATTGGTTATACGAGACCAAGTGATCAGTCCTGAAGTCATATACACACACAAAACTAAATGGACTCAGCAGGTCACACTGACTTAAGTGTTTATATATGTAACAAAGAAAAAGTCCATGATTTTGGGAGGAAGCAAGGTAAGGAGGTACAGGGAGGGGTACAAGGGAGGAAAGGGGAGAGGGGGAAATGATGCAGTTAAATTTTATTTTTAAAAGCTAAAAATAATACATTTCAGGAAGTAATATGCCTTAAAACATTTTATTTTTTTATTCTCAAATTAGTAGATAGCAGTTTTGTTGAAAATAATAATAGGAAATATATATTCCATAGCTATGGATCTGTGAAACAAATGATAGCCAGGGCTGTCCATGTGACAGTGCGCTCATCAGTGGCTACCCAACGGGAGAAAGGACTCCCTCCCTCACCTCTGTAAATGGCTACTAGCTGCTTCCCAGGGTACAGTGAGCCACATGTACCTCTCTCCCTCATGGCTGACTGTTGACAGACTCAGCTTTGTGCAGATCCAGAGCAGACAAGCACAGCTGCTCGAAGTTCACAATTGCAATGACTGTGTCATGCCCAGAAGGTAGCATTTCACAGCCCTTCTGCCTATCATCTGCTTCTTATATTCTCTCTACACCTCAGTCATGATGTTCCCTGAGCCTTAGAAGGGGTGGTATTGTGTAGGCCTGAGTACTCAACAGTTACTTATTCTCAGCTATGAGTCTTCTCTCACTGCTATTCATTATACAAGAAGTTTCCCGAAGGCTGAAAATACCATGTGTGTATGGGTATAAATATAAATACAAATATTTAGAAAGTGATTTGATGCCATGTTCATTTAGCAAAACAACATTAGAAAACTCCATGAGTTTTTTTTTTTAAAACCAGCTTTATAGTTTCAGGCATT